TGGCAGTGAGCCCGTCACTTTAAGGAGAGATGAGTGGCCCCTTCCAATGCCCGAACACAGGCATTTTAAACCTCAAGAATGGTCAACAGTAAAATGAACAGAAATGGTAGAAAATATGTCATTTTAGATCCCATGAATCTGTCATTAGCACGTGACAGATCCCATTCATTCTCCGAGTGCTCACGTGTACCGAGCAATTGCTACACCAAGCAGAACTTCGGCCCTTGCTGATGACCATGTGTGACATGGCATCCACAATTAGGAAAATGTGTGTCGGGGGAGGTAACCCCCAGTTCTATACCCCTAGCAACAAAGAACACAAAATTGCATACAATTTGTTAATAAATTTTATTGTGATTTTTAATATTGATTAACAGATCCTTGATTAGCAGTTCCCCCCACCCCCTTGATCTCAAAAGAAGATAGCCTTTGAATGCCCTCTGAACACTTTGCTCTGAGAGGCCGGCTCAGAGACGTGAAACTTGTGGAATTTCTCTTCCATGGAGCCCCAAGATGTAACAGGTGGAAACCCGCTCACATCAGGAGACAGCTCAGAGTCCGCAGCTGGCCTTTACCAGAAAGAAAGAGGCCTGGCCACGGGGGGACACTGGGCTCCTCATGATACGCCTGTCTGTGCATGTGTTGTGAACAAAAACTTGTCTTCCAGCTCGTTGGAGACCCCGGACACACATCAATGTCAACGTGGGGCTGGTGGCAAGAGAGGCCCAGGATGCTTGTCTCCTTCTGGAGGCCCCACTGTGAGCACAGCTGTGTCAACTGGAACCACGTCTGCACCACACACCCAGCACTTGGGTGACACAGCAGAGTTACAGATCCATACCAGCAAGGTTCTGTTCGGGCTGTGACATGTGGGGCTCTGTGGGTGCGTCCTGGGTACAGGCCAGCCTGGCCCCATTCATCCTAAACACTGCACACCTGTGAGGGAAGGGCCTGGCCCATTCTCAGTGTGGCCCTGCCCCACAGGCTGTCCCACGCTGATTCTGGATAGGACTGAGGTTCACTTTGGGACCTCCTGGACCTGCTAGGGATGCTGAGGCTGGGGGCCACCCTGGGGGCAGGGCTCGGAGGCGGACAGCGGTGACATGAGGAAGGATCTGGTTTCCCTCAAGTTCTTCTTTCTGGAAGTGTCTGGGAAAGGAGTGTGGTCAGAGTGGCTGGGCTGGCCTGAGTTACTCTGTTCTCGGGAAGAATATCCAGGCAGCAGCTGCCAGGCGCCCTTCCCAAGAGCTCAGACCCCAAAGGTGACCTGGCAAAGTCCCCTGGCCTCAGTCTCTTGACCCTGCCTTCCAAAGTTCTCAGTCGTAGCCCTGGACCTGCAGGCTGAGGCCTGGGTCCTGCTGGGCAGTTTGTGCCTCTCTATTTACTAGAACAGGGTTCTAAATATGGCTATAAAGCAAGTTCCTTCAGTCTGATGGCTCCTCTCCTGCAGTGACCAGTCTGAGAGGACCCTCTGGGACATCACTACAGCGTGGGCAGGGCCAGGACCCTGAGAGCACCCCTGGGACAGCAGCCCACAGTGTCTTTGCACAAATGCAGACTGTGGGTCCACCTCTCTTCTGGCTCCTTCCTGTCCCGCCCTCTTCCCGGAGTCTACCAAACACCGATAACCCTGCACTCTGTCTCTGGAGTGGACATCCCTCCCCAGCTTGGGCAGCTCACAGCCCACCTTCCCTCAGGCCATTAATGCTGATGGGGACGCTATCTTGAGTATTCCTGCAAGCTGGGGCCTGGATCTCTAAAACAAATCACATCTCCACAGATCCAGCAACTGTGAGAAAGAAATCTGAGTGGCCGGAATGAAAGCACGTTTCCTGAAGGAGTCAAACCTGCTTCCCTGTCAGTCAGCACACTGGAAATCGCATCACCCCCGTCCCCCACCCCCCAAAGACTTTTTCCAGATGGCTTTTGAATTGATAAACAATCGTAAGTTCAAGTCTAAAAAATGTTAAGCCTAATAGAGATTTGTGGAGTTTACCTAGTACTAAAAATCTAGTCTCTCCCTTGGCAGACCCCACAACTGTACCTTTTATGGTGTTGGGCAGTTTTTCTTTAAAAAAAAGAAAAAAAAATCTTAGGGTAAGTTTTTTTTCCCTGAATGGTTCCATAATCAATTCTAAATAGTTTGTGCAAGAGAAAACATATTGGGTTTCTCCCTGATTATCTGATTTCCACTCATAAGGACAAAGGCTGTGAAACCCAATTACTCCTGGTTATGAAACACAGTTTGGCACTGACTTCTTATTCCTGGGGACATGGAGCGGCAGGAAGCCAGAACTCAGGATGGGACCCTGTGTGGCAGATCCACCAAATGGGATGTGGCCTGAAGAACTCAACAAACCCCCATTTTTGACTAAATAATTAAATGATTCCTCTTCTTTCTCCTCTTAAGGGAGAGAATGAATCCCCTAATTGCAGCCGAATCCCCAAATCTATGGCCCCAAGCTCCATGGCGTCCTTACCGCTGTCTTGCTGGGAATGGCGCCACAGTTCTGATCACTGACCCCAAGGCTATCTCCAACTCAAACTTCTGGGCTTCAGGATGAGCCCGGAGACGTCCTTCTCCAGGCTCAGAAGCACAGTGCTGAGCTGGAGCACCCGGGGTCGTGCACAGGGCAGGGCTTCTTCAGTGCCAGGCACTTGTTTTGGGCTCAGAAGAAAGGCAATAGGGCGTGGGACATGTGCCAGCGGATCAGATACCAGTCACTCATGGTTCCTTTAAATTCCCAAGGGGGAAAAAGGCTCAACCCCCACCTCGCTTCTTGCTGTATTTTATAAATAGTTCCAGTTTCCGAAGGCAGGGCTTCACTTCAGACTTCTGAGTAAGTTATCAAGAAGGAAGCAGCACACTACTTAAAATAAGCTGGTTCATGGAGAACCTGCTCCACTCTGAAGCGGAGGAGGCTTCTAACATGCAATCGCTCAGTTGCTCCTTTCAGGCCAGGGCTGATTTCCAGAACCTTCCATGGTGAATTGCAAGGTAAAAAATGACACCCTCAAAGGGCTGCAGCCTCCCTTCCTGTTCAAAGCAAATCTCTCTGCGGGTGTGTCAGGCAGTCTCAATTTACATAACTTGAGGAGGTGGGTGTCACTATCACAGTTTGGACTCAAAGTCCAATTTTCAGCTGCAGTGCATGCCAGGAAAGTGTCCTAAATTCAACTGTCTGTTCCACTCTTGTTGCTAAATTATGCTTTTGTAATTTAAGCATTCCCATTAAAATGTCACATCCAATGGCATCGGAGATGCAAAGGTAGGGAAATTAGATGCGCAGCAAAGAGCATTATTGCAAACTCCATCCAGGGCCTCGGGGGAACCTGATCTGTTAGGCTCCTGTATTCTGAGAGCTGTGCCTGCTGATCTGCTGCGGCAGAACCATCCCCACTCAGAAACCAGGAGAGCAAAGAGGAACAGACGGCACCTGCCCCAGGACCCACAGCCCAGCTGCCGGCCACACCCCGCACCCCTCCTGTTATTTCAGGGGTCAGTTTTTTTACAGCAAAGAGGAGGTGCAGTTTAGGATAACTGGCTTCACTTTGATACAAAGAGGCTCACAAAACAGGAATCCATGGAGAAGTCATCGGGATAAGAAGTGAAATCCACTGCCAGAGATGTCTAGCTCTGCAACACATTTTGAAATGATCAGCAGAGGCCAGCCAAGACAAGAGCAGGCGAGGACACTCCTCTCTGCCCTCTGTGTGCTCAGCTTCCTCTCAGATCCAGCTCAGCTCTTCCCCCACGGGAATCTCACAGAAGATTCTTTAGGCTGCCAGCATCTACGAGCTCACCATGACCTGCCTGGGTGGCCCCCATGTCTCTTTGGCATGGTCATGTATTTCTCAATATGGAGGGGACTCAGGGACCTCATGAGCAGAACAGGTGTCCTGAACGTCCACACACACAGCAAGAACACTCCTGCGGGGGAGGGGGTGCTTAGCACTGCTGATAGGAATTCTGTAACACACCGAGCCCGCCCAGTAGCACTGCAAAGTGAAGAGAGAAGGGAGACTCGCTGGCACCTTCTGATTGCATCAGGTCATGTAAGCCGGCTGCAGCGTGTTAAGGCTCCACTTCTCTTTGGCAAAGGCCTCAAATGAGCGACAGCAAGTGGGGATTTCCCCCCCAAACAAGGACACCGCTAATCACCTGTCACCAAAGGCCAAAGGCACAAAGGCCGACTGCCAAACAGCTCTGGTTGAGTGCATCCGGGCAGTCACCCTGAGCCCCGCAGTTCTGCAGAGGGAAGCACATGGCTTGAGAGCACAGGGAGAATCAGAGCTCCTCCGTGTCCCTCACCTGGCTTCCCCTGCAGTGGGTCAGAGCGTGGGCCTTTAGCCACTTCTCTGTTTCCCAGAAGGGGACCAACCAACCCACTTCCAGAGAAGACCTAGAAACAGAAACAACTCTGCCATCAAAGTCGCATTTGTCTCGCTCCTGAAGGCCCTGCTAATTGAGCTGTGCAGGAGGAAGGGTGTGTGGTCCCGGCCAGCATGGCCACAGAACCAAGCTCAGTGGACCCTTCTCACCTGGTGGGATGAGGACCCTGGCGGGTGAGGACATAGCTGGCATCAAGCTGCGCCACCCCACCCAGTCTCAGGACCCTGGGCAAAGTCATAGAGGTAGTACTTTAACTTTCCACCAACAATAGCACAGCTTCATTGGGTACAAAAGAGCAGGTCCCCTTCACCTGTGCCTCAACAGGAAGGAGGCCCCCCGTCTGCAGGAGAGGCTGGTGAGGGCTGGGGCAACGGCTCCTCCTGCACCATGTTGCAAAGTCTTCCAGTGCCACCCAACCCACGCCAAGGCCTGGTGCAAAATACCCTTAGATACTATTAATACAAAAGCTCCTAGGAAGCTAACAGGGTTATGCACACACATTTTTCAAGAGGTTAGAGAAAGAAAGCCAGTCATGGCTTGCCTTTTTTTTTGATGGCACACCTGGTCAGTTTGCAGCTCCGTAAAGCCTGAAGCCTGATCCACTCCATTTTGGTTTAGAATGAGGTGTTTTTTATTACCATTTTTCTTGGAAGTAGGAAAGAAGAACCGGAAGCTTTAAGATCAAGAATAATCAAGGTACAGTGAATCTGGAAGGCAGGTGGGAGCAGGACGAGATTCCCAACCAACGCACAGAGGAAGGAGCCTGGCCCGACCCACGCGGCACCCTGGATGCGGAGTCCTGTGGAGAGCCAAGGTCAAGGTCAGAGAGTCAGACGTGGCTCTTCATTTCCAGCGATGCCTGACGAGAGAGGACTCATCGTTGACGACCTCGGGGTCGCGGGGCGTGTGCCGGCACTGGAAGGGGATGAGCAGCAGAAGGATCAGGATGAGGAGGATGACTCCGCACACGCTCATGAGGGTGTAGGAGACGATCCACAGAATGGGGTCATTCAAAGCCTGGGCGGGGACACAGTTGCTGGCTATGTCTTCGGTGGAGAAGGGCCCCGAGATCTCAGACACTGGAGCACCTGCGATCTCTGAGGAGACAGAAGGGGAGAGATGCACGGCTCTGAGCTCAGCGGTCCCCTCCAGCAGAAAGAGCATGGAGGACCCCGGCTGTCACCTCCCTGCACAGCACATTGGGGTCCCAAAGGCTGGGATGTCCTAGTGCTGGGAGGAGGGAGGCTTTGGGACAGTGTGCCTTCAGGGATCCAGGCCCACACAGCAAGGGCAGCACCTTCCAAGGTCTGCAGGAGCTGGGGCCACGGAGAGGAGGGGACCCTGCAGAAGGGCACGCACAGCCACAGCCTGCGGTGCCATGGAGGGGACAACACCTGGGCCTGAGCCTGGTAGCCAGCTAAGTGGCGTTGCTGTGTGTCCTCAGAGGAAGAGGAAGGGGGCGGGAATTCTAGTGGAATCTACTCGTGCCTGCCTGGCCCACGGCTGTGTCCTCTGCAGCGCCAGCCGGAGCTCACGTCCCACCCTGGAGTCAGCCTGGCTCAGCACACCCTCCCTGCCCCACTCCTGTCCCACGGGTGGATTTTCAGCATCTGGGGGACCCCAACCCAAAGGCTGCAGCATCTAGCTCACGACACGTGGTGACCAGGAGAACCACAGGGAAGGACACTGCTGTCCAGACTCAATGACAGAGAGAGTGCCGGAGCCCTGCAGGCAGGTCGGGGCTTGGGAGGGTCTCATCTACGTGCTTGGCCACCTCCCCTGTCAGCAGCGCGGAGCCCTGAGCTCCACCCTGAAAACGACAAAGGAACAGGCCTTGCTGTCCCTCTTTTCTAACTGCAGAAACGACTACTCAGCCCCCCAAATAACACCGCCAAGCATCTAATTTTCCTGTGATTAGAGCCCCAAGATCCTGGGGCTGAATATGATCCTCTCAATTGAGGAAAGAACAAGTCAAAATAATAATGGAGTAACGGTCTGAAACGAGGGAAACAGCCCTGGGTCCTTTGTAAAGAAGGTACATTTTCTGGCTAGTGGACTTTTAAGGGCCCAGGCAAAGATGGGCAATGAGGAAGGCCTGTGGGCATGGCCCTCGGTCACCCCAAGCCCTGGGTGCCCACAGCAGCTGTCAGCCAGGACATCCTTGGGCCAATCCCCTGCCACTTCCTTTAGGACATCAAGTTTCACTGGAACATGGCCACATCTGCTCATGTGTGAGGTCCACGGTCACTCGGTGCTCCGGTGGCTGGGCAGCCACATGCACCATGAAGTCAGCAACACCTAAGGTCATCAGCACCTGGCCCTTCACGGAGGAGGCTGCTGGTCATGGCCTGTACCGCCATCAAGACACATATTTACTAAACATTTTAAATAACTGAAAAGTAACCCTACTCTTTACTATGAAGTCAATATATGTTTATGATAGAGAGATCTGAAAACATAGGGAGATAAAAGCACACTCATAAATTCACCAGTTAGAAATAGCGCTGATATCGTAGGGCGCCATCGTTTTCTATACACTGATTTTTTAAAACCAGGATGGGACTATGTGGTACTTGTCGTTTTGTAAACTCTATTTTTACTTTACATATGATATATATATTTAATATATACATTACCTATATTAAAATCACATCTTTTACTTTTTAATCCAGGCTATCCTGCTGACCACACACACACAAAAACTATGGGTGTGTCAGATTGTTGACCAGTTTCCCACTGCGGCCTTCTCTGTGCCTTCAGCATTTGCACCAGTGTAGACAGGATGCAAGAAAGGTCGAGCCTAAACCGTTGTTCATATTCTCAACTTCAGAAAGAGCGCCTAGAAGTAAACTTGGGGCCGGCATGCTCACTTTCAAGCTTCTTTACACCTGTTGGCAGAGTGTCCACGGGGAGCCCAGTGGGCATGAATGCCCACCTGCATGGCGTGGACAGCCCACTCCTCTCCCCACACAGCACAGGAAACAAGGACTACGGTTCCCCACCTGGCTTCACGACACTCACAGCCCTTGGCTTGTGAGGGTTTGCTGTTGGACAAAAACGATTGACCTTTTATGTTTTATCATCGTGGATTTGTAGGAATCCTTCTCCGGTTGCCCGTGTTTTCCTACAGCAGGTCGCCGTGGTGTGTGTGTGTGTGTGTGTGCACATGCGTGTGCTTACTTTACAAATGGAGGAGCTTGGCTAGTAAGATGATGGAAAGGGAACAGGCTCAGTACAAAGATGAGAGCATCTGAAAACAGTAAAGCACGGAGAGATGAAGACAGGCTTGGAGCCATCTCTGCTTCCAGTGAGAGATAGAGAGAGTGGGGGCAGCTGTGTTCCTGGACCTGAAACAACCAAAACATTGGGCAAAATATATGAAAAAAGATGGGTAACAAAGAGCACCCTGCGACTGCCCCAGCACACCCCCTGGTGGCCGCAGGATGGGGATGCAGGCAGAGGCCACGGCCTCCAAAGAGACAGGCAGAGGCCCAGGAAGCCCAGGCCGTAGGAGTTCCGGGCAGAGTCATGTTGAGGGGATAGTATGCCTCGTGGGCCCCCCTTGGGCCTCTGGCTGAGCATAGAGGCCGTCCATGTCTGTGGGTTCTGTATCCACAGGGTCATCCTGCTGCAGACCAAAAGTATCGGGGAAAAAACAGTGTCTGTACTAGGCACATGCAGGCTTTTTCCCTGTTGTTATACCCCAAACGATACAGAACAACATCTATCTACGTGGCATTTATGTTGTCGTAGGTAATATAAGTCATCTACAGATGATGAAAGTTCATGAGAAGATGTGTGTAGGTTCCATGCAAATCTACGTGGGAGCTAAGCATCCTTGGGTTTGGTACCAGTGGGGTCCTAGACCAGCCCCTGTGGGCTGAGGGACTGTACTGGTCAGAGAACACAGAAAGGCCATGAAAGAGCCTCTAAAAGGACGTGAAGGAAAGGCCTGGAGTCCAGACAGGGCTGGGAAGAGTGCCTTCTCCCCAGCTTTCTGTTTCCTGTTTGCTCCTTCTTCCCCCGAGTGAAGGGAAAAGCAGCAAGCAGTTCACAGGGCTTTAGCTACAGCACGCGGGATGGCCGTCCCAAAATTCACTCTGACTCTCCCTGAAGAAATCAAAGAAGCAAGACAAGAAAGCACAGGCTGGAGGGGTTTCAAGATGGAGGAAAAGAGCAGGCCGCTTTCCCGGCTGCTCTGTGGAGTGAAACCAAGAAAGCAGACAGGCAGCTCCTCTGCAAGGTGGGTGAACCGAAAAGAAAGGTGGGGGGGACTCCCCTGGAATTTAAAACTGGACATTCAAAGCAGATCGGGAACTCAGGAGGTTGGCTACAATAAAATAAAGAAGAAATCCCCCGTGGTCCAGCCACTGCTGCAGCCAGAGCGGCCCCTCCATGAGCACAGTGGAGGGATTTGGGGATTGAAGGAAGCCACATTTTTAGGAGGTCCAAGGCGTGTCTGGGTATGGAGCATTTAGAGATCCAGGACATTGCCCACTAAACTGAAATGCCCACTACACAATATCCTTGTTTGGGAAAGAAGCTGCCAAAACCCACCCAGCTCTCCCACTCCCCCACCCTCTGGCTGCTTGCTGGACTGGCTGGGAGAGGTGCATCTGGCAGGGAATTTAGAAGGGTAGGAATGGGAGAGATTGAATTTAGAGATTGAACCCAAGACCAGGAAACACGGGGGCTGCAGGTGATATAAGTAACTAAGAATTGGGTCCCCCACTGTATGTTCACAGGGCATTTGCTACAGCACGCAGAAGGGCCGTCCTAAAAATCATATAGTGTTTCCCCACTATATGAGTGGAACCCAGGGGAGATCCTGGGATACAGTCTTCCAGCATAGACTGGCAATTACTGGGCCCTGGTGGCTCACAGATTTAAAATCTCCAGACCAATTGGCCCACCTAAGCCTAAACCTTGCCTCCAGAAATTCTGCCTATGAGATTACCTCTCTCACTCCAGCAACCCAGAGGGTGGATCATCACGCACCAGAGGACCCCACCTAAGACTGCTGAGAAGCTGAGAAACTTTTGAACTCCAACAGAAAGAATTCTTTAACTTTTCATTGGGTTTTTTTTTTCTCTTCTCTCTCTCTCTCTCTCTCTCTGTCTCTCTCTCTGTTTCTCTCTCTCTCTTTCTCTCTCTTCCCCTTTTCTCTGTTTAATTGTGACCTTAATGGTACATGGACATTCATTCATACTGACATTTGTTTTCTTTTAATCATTTCTAGCATTTTTGAAGTCAGTTATTTTCATTGTTTGAGGACTAGGATATTTCATTAGTATAGTTTAGTTTTGTTTTGTATTATTTTATTTTTATTTAAAAAATTTTTAATATATATATATATATTCTCTTAGCTGTTTCCTTTGATTCTATTTTTGTCTTTTCTTCTGCTAACAGTCAATCTCTATTGTTCTTTCACTCTTCCTTTAACTTTTTACTTCTTCTTTTCTCCTCCTCCCTCATAATCATCACGTCCTGTATCACTTCTGTTCTCTCCTTGTCCACCATTTGAAATTATAAAACCTTTTGCAAAGTTGCCATTTTTATTGTAGACAATAACTGAACACATCATTTCTGTGTATTGCGATAATTAACACTGTAGACTTCATAGTAGGAACTATTTGGTTTAATGCTGTAAAATTGTTTGCATTATTTATTATTATTTGTCTTCCTCTAAACAGTGAGGTACTGGAAACCTTCAGGGACAATACAAGTCCACAGGGTAGAAACTCTACTACCTCAGATCCATACCGCTAGATGGGTAGACACACAAACAACATGAAAAAACAAGGGAACAAACTGCCCCAAACAAAACAAGATACTTCAATAACAGACTCTAACTATATCACAGTGGAAAAAAATATTAGAGAAGGAATTTAACCAAACTCATCTGTGAAGTAAAGGACAATGTAAGGAGTGAAATCAGAAAGAAAATTCAGGAAGTGAAAGATCACTTTAATAAAGAGATAGATTCTGAAAATAATCAAGCAGAAATCCTTGAAATGAAGGAATCAATAAACCAAATTAAGAATTCAATGGAAAGCACTGTCAACAGACCAGATCACTTGGAAGACAGCCTGTACTA